TCTTTTGTTAAAAAAGTTTAACATCCAAATGAAAAATAGAACAATGAAATCTGTTAAAACTATTTTAAGGAGGGGCAGTGTGATAAGGGAGAATAAAAGGAGAAAGGTTCATCACACATGTGTGATCAACGTTGTGCACATGTGTGAAAATGTCACAATTTGAAAATCTATATGCTAATGAAATGAAGAATGTTTAACATCAGGCTGAGGGTGATGGCTCATTCCTTAATCAGCTGTTTGGGAGGTGGAGATAGGGAGTCAATGGTCTGAAGTCAGCTTGGGAACAAAATTAGGGAGACTGCATTTCAACCAACAAGATGAAAGTGGTGATACATACCTCTAATTGCAGCTAAGATGGAGGTATATAGTTAGGAGGATTGAGTACTGAGGCTGCATCAGGCAAGAGCATGAAACACTATCTGAAAAACAACTAAAACAAAAAAGATCTGGCAAATAACTAAGGTAATAAAACACTTGTTCAGCAAGAGGAGGGTCTGAGCTCAAACTCTAGTACCATCAAATAGTAACTTTAAAGAATATATTTGAAGAAACATCATGTAACCAGAGTGTTAGATGAGTGATGTGTTTTCTCTATGAAGAGACTGAAAACAGAAAGACACAGTAGAGATGACGAAAGAGATGGCATTGATCAAGATGCATTGTGCTCATAAACTAACATGCTGAATTAAAACCCCTTTATCCAACTCTTTAAACATAAAAGAAGGAAGAGGAAGCGAGAGAGGAGACAGAGACAACAGACAGTTCTCAGAAAAGAGTTGACGGAAAGATTATGGGTTTTTTTTTTCTGTCAAATGTACGAAGCCACCAAGACTCAACCCAAAGTCATGCATGCAAATTTCTACAAGGCATTTGGGACTCAGTAACTTATACTGCAAGCCGTAAAAATCATATTAGTCTTTCATCTAGTAATTTCTTAGCCTTTACCATAAGTAAATTATGCAAAAGAAAGAAAACTTGAACCAAGATCGTTTAGCACTTTTTGTGAATAGCAAAACATACATGCACATACTTCAATGCCAAGAAGAGGTTAATTTCCTGAGGGTCAACCTGCTCAATGGAAAATTTTTCTCTGTTATGTGTATGCTGACTCGGTTATGTAAAAAACCCACAAACTATAGCATTATACATTCAGAATGATTGCAACTATGATTAAAAAAAAAACACACCCATGCCTGGGGAGAAGAAAACCTAGAAAAAAAATTTCCACATGCCTTTTCTTCCAGTTAAATGCAAAGTGATTTCTAAATAGTTCACTTTCGTCTCTTAATTTTTGTGCATATTTCTAATGACATGATTTATGAAAACAACTCAGGAGTCTTCCGAACTGATGCTAAATGCCGGGAGAGGAGAGTAGAGAATAAAGGAACAGCTTTTGATTTTCTCTTAAATATCAGAGAAACAAGGCATCATCAGGGCTTGGGATCGAGGCAAAGAAAGCCAAAGAAATCCATCGCTAACCAATGCTCAGCGGGTAGAATGGTACACTGTCAGGACAAAGATGAATGTTTCTAGATGTAGCATCTGAGAGAAATCCTATGTTACCTGAGAAAGCAGATTCCACTAAGAGAAGAGAGATCAACCAACATTCCATTATTTAAAAAATAACAACAACAACAACAACAAACCCAGCCAGGGACCATGGCACACACCTGTAAACCCAACCATTAGGAGGATCTGGGAGATTAAGGCCAGCCTGGGATCCACTGCTCCATATGTAAAGAAAGATATCTAAAATATAATTTTAAAAACAGTAAAGAAAAATATCTAAAATAATAATTCTTCCCAGAGATAATTCTCCCCAAAATATAATTCTGTCAAAGTTTGGTGAGTTGTTCATTGAAATAAATGTAAAAGTTAAAAATCTGTTACTTTTCAGATTAGCTATTTCAATTAAATAATCTTCCTCATGCTAAAGGTCAAAAGGAAGAGAACATTTACAATAGAAACTGAAATTGAAAAAATATGTGATATCTCCATATAGAAAGCAAGGGGCAACCCCACAGAGGTTTAAACAAATATAATAAAGAATTCCAAATTAATACACCCTCTGAAAAGAAGCATCCATTCAAATAAATCCAAACATCTTTTGTTGATAAGAAACACAGAGAAAATGAAAAAGGATGAGCACATCAAATGTTAGAGAAGAAAAGGATATAACAATACAATTTTCTTGTTAGCATAAATAATTGAGTAATCAAAACTCTGCAATGATAAAAGTTTACAGTAAATAATGAGAACATAACACATTCCATTTATATTCCAATTAACAGAGCAAAAAGAAAAAGGTGTGAATGTGTCAGAAATGCCAACAAAAAATAAGCCCAAATTGGGGGAAACTCATTGTAGTCAGAGATGCTTTCTTAAAATATCATCGATCAAACAGACAGAGAAAGTAGATCCTGGATGGCCCAATTAATAGGAGAGCTAACAGATCAGGGAAGAGCACGAAATCATAAATCAAGGGAATATTCTTTGTAATGTACAAAGGTTGCTAATTTATTCCTCCTGAACTCAAGTCAAAAGCAAAGACCGCCTCCACTTCTCAGACCACAAAGAAAAGAGTGATTCTCGGATCTGAGCCTCTTATCTGCAGCATCTTAGTTCCACCGACCTATGAGAGATATTTCTAGGCATTCTCTTGTACAATCTAGTTTCTTCAATAATGTGCGAGTCAGAGATAAAATCAGATGTGCCTTGCTGAGATATTGGAAAGGAACAATATTTGTACAGGAGGCGTGGACCCAGTTACAGCCGAAATGAAAATGGGAATTTGTACATGTTCTCGTAAATAGGAAAGTGAGAAATGTGAAGCTAGCTGACCCTGAGAGAATTTAGAAGAGAACCGGGGACATCCGGTGGCTCTGGCCCTGGCTGCGGGTGGCGGTGCGAGGAGCAGCCCCGCGGCAGGGGGAGACGCAGGAAGGGCAAGGCAGGCTCAACCACCACTCCAGGCTCAGGACAGGCTCCCTGGAGCCACTTCTGGGGGCCACAAAAGGAGCAGGGTTAGGTGCTGCTCAGGGTGTGTAAGAGCTGCAAAGCAGCCAAGCCGTGGGGTTGGGGTGTGCTACCAAAGGCCAGAGATCGGCTTGCTCTGAATGTGGAACTTTCTGGGCATGGTGACCTGGCCTGGGCTCCCAGCACTCAAGTCGAAGGATGATGGAAAGATCCAGGCCAGGCTAGGTAGTGAGATCCTATGGAGGAAGAGAAGGGGGAGAAGGAGGGGGAGGAGAGGGAGGAAGAGGGGGAGGAGGAGGAGGACTTTAGAGAGAATACATACAAACAATGGGGTGTTACAGGAGGGAAGTTTTGGGTGTGGGGTGTGGGACGGTAGGGTGCAAGCATGCATGCGTGCACACCAGTCCTGGAGCTTGAGCTCAGGGCCTGGGTACTGTCCCTGAGCTTTGTTGCTCAAGACTTAGTATTCTACTACAGCTTGAGCCACAGCTCCCCTTGGGGCTTTTTTGGTGGTTTGTTAATGATCAGAGTCTCACGAACTTTCCTTCCAGGGCTGGCTTTGAACCTCGATCCTCAGATCTCAGCCTCCTGAGCAGCACTGGGATTACCAGCATGAGCCACTGGTGACCCGTTGGCATGTTTGTTTTTAATGCTGAAATAGAGTCTTCTTTCAAAGGTATTTTCTAAGGTTTAAATGAGGAGGAGGAAAGAAGGGCCTGCGTGTGGAAGGGCCTGGGCCTCCACCTGGCCAGCGTGTGGGCAGCTGTGGCTCCGTTCTCCCATGGGCCTGCCCTGCTCCGCACCAGGCACCAAGCAAGCCTGGGAGCTGCCCCCCATGGTGCCAGCCCCCACGCGCGGCGCTGAGAGCGAGCCCAACCTCTCCTTGCCTGATGGTCCACTTACCCTCCACGTCTCAGAGTTCCATCTGGGACAGCTGCAAGCTGTGTATACACAGCTGAGGCCCCGAAACTCACCTGTGCGCCCCAACATGGACCACACCTCCCCTCAGCCCCCCGGGTCTTCCAGAGAACGCAGACCGCAAGCACAGAGCCTGTTGGCAGCCCAAGTGGCTTGCCCCGGCCCCTCTACCATGCGGAGCTTTTCCTCTGGGCAGAGATGGTGGTGCCAGATGGTGGGCGGGCAGAGCTGACGCCACCTTTGGGATGCTGTGGGATGAGGTCCTGGGACCTTTCCCAGGCGATGCCCGCTCTTCCGGGTCCTCACCTGAAAGCCCAGCAGCTAGAATGCAAATACTAACCAGGAAGCAGTTATCCACCACTCGGCCTAGTTCATCGTGTGTGTGTGTGTGTGTGTGTGTGTGTGTGTGTGTGTGTGTGTGTGAGAGAGAGAGAGAGAGAGAGAGAGAGAGAGAGAGAGAAACTAGGTTTCCAGGGACCAGGATACCAGAAAGCACAAGGCATTAAGAGAACAGAGCCCATGCGCAGATTGTCTCTGGTGGAGTTTGGTGGGCTGGGGTGGGAGTGGGGAGAGGAGGAGCTAGCCAAGGGGCTTGAGGTGGGTCTGGCTCTGTAGGTGACCCCTGTGAGGCTCGGAGATGCTAAAGAGTTTATGGCAGTCCAAACGGACAGAGGGGAGCATGGGGAACGCACATCCTGAGTTCCTCCTTCATCAGTCTTCTTCCCTGGCCTGTCACCAAGGTCAAAGCAAGGGCACCTGCTCAGTCCAGAAGGTTCCAGCCCTTGCCTGCCTCCCTCCCTCCCTCCTTTGCATGGCTGGCTCTGCCTAGCCCAGTTCTCTATCCCTCAGCCTCTCCTCCATTCTAAAAATCCCCCGCTTTGCGTGGAACACCCCCGTCGCCAGTCAGTCATATGAGTACTTGCTGTGGTCCAGTGAGCACCCTGGGAAAAGGACTCCGTCTCCCTTATATCACCAAGCCTCGCAGAAGCAGACTCGGTCCTTGAGGAGAGCTCATTGAGGGAGGGAGGGAGACAGGGAGGGAGGGAGGGAGGGAGGGAGGGAGGGAGGGCCTGGCTGGGCAGTGCCAGCGGCCAGTGCTGGGCCATCTCTGAAGGGAAGGTGAGCCGGGCTTGCTGCAGAGCCGTGGGGGTGCATTTTCTACACCTCTGCTCCCCATCTCTGTGTCCTTGAGGAGCACAAAGCTCAGCCCAGGGCAGCCCCGCAGACGTTTCCTAGTCTGTGTTCTCACTCCCAGAGAAGGAACTAGAATCTTCTGAATTCTACATGCCGGTGTGTCTTCCCTGCCAGCATCTCCAAGAGACACTTGAGTAGAGTTCCAGAACAATCCAGGCGGAGGGAGGAAAGCACCTGACCTAACTTCGGCTAGGAAAATGGCACCACTGGTAAGTGGCTCCCGCCCGCCCCGGGCTCCCACGCACCCTTCGCACCTCCGCGCTGGCCGTGCGCTACCATGCCAGGCGCTCTGCCATCTCGAGCATTTGGTAAATTCCCACAAGACTCTGGAGTGGTGGCCCTCGGGCTTGCGGACGGCGTTGGCACGTGAGGGGAGCCGGGGACTGTCCCACCCTGCCACGACATCGCCACCATGACTCAGACCAGGAGGAAGCTGAGGGCTCGTAGAAAAATGTCACCCATGATCAGGAACAAACCGGGCCTGCCTAGAGCCGAGGCTGCGGCCACCAGAGTGAACAGCAGCTGTCACTGTCCCCGAAGACTGGGTCAGCCCCAGGGTGATCGCAGCCCAGCCCTACCAAACCTGGCTGAGCTCAGGCCAGGTCCAGGGCCCTGTGCCTCAGTTTCCTCCATGGCTCCGAGGCTGTTACCTGCCGGGGAGGGGCGTCCAGCAGAGCCGAGGCAGCTGAGAGATGTCGCTTCTCCTCCAGGCCTGGCCACCTGCCTCCTCTGGGCAGATAGAGCACTTCCCCTCCCTGGGTCTGAACTTCCTCAGGGTACAATGGGGGGTGGAGGTGGAGCCAGGAGCTCCTAAGTAGCTCCCAAGGTAGCTGTGGGGGGTTGAGGGGCCTAGAGAGAAAAGTGGGGGTCCCTCCCTTCAAAGAACCAGAATATTGGGCTTCCAGAACATCTTTCCAGGAGAGTTTGCATGCCTGTGTCCTCTTGATGGTCGAAACCACTACCCAGCTTCAAGGGAGAGGCCAAAGAGTCTGCGTGTAAGTGTGTGTGTGTGGGGGTGTATGTGTGTGTTTAAATGTACATGCAGTGTGTGTGTACACATGAGTGTGTATGTAGGATGGGGAACTACTGACCACAGGGTAGGTAGAGCTGTGGACATAGAAATATTCGCGCACGTACGTGTGTGTGTGTGTGTATGTGTACTCCTGGGGACTTCCATCTTTTTTTTTTTTTTTGTCAGTCGTGGGGCTTGAACTCTGTGCCTGGGCGCTGTCCCTCAGCTCTTCAGCTCAAGGCAAGCACTCTACCACTTGAGCTACAGCGCTACTTCCGGTTTTCTGGTGGTTTATTGGAGATAGGAGTCTCACGGTCTCTCCTGCCCGGGCTGGCTTTGAACCTCGATCCTCAGATCTCAGCCTCCTGAGTAGCTAGGATTACAGGCGTGAGCCACCAGCGCCCGGCGGGACTTCCATCTTTAGGGATGAGCACCAAGAGGCTCTTGTCAGGGGAGCTCTGGAATATTCCAGGCAATCAATCAAGTGGGGGCTGAAAGTCTGGCAGTTACAGCTGGTGTCCACGCCATGCCAGCGATGAGGCCGAGGAGCTCGGAGAACACCAACCCCAGCTGTTTCCATAAGTCGTGTCGGCTGTGGCTTTCATAGAGATTTCTATAGCAAACAGAAGTTGCCTGAGCTAGGTCTGGGTGACTGAGCTCAGCCATGGGATGCAGAAGACAGAAAATCCTATCTGTTGGGGCTGGGAAGGTGGCTCAGTGGTAGAGCGCTAGCCTTGAGCTGAAGAGCTGAGGGACAGCGCCCAGGCCCAGAGTTCAGGCCCCACACCCGGACCCCCACCCCAAAAAAAAAGAAATCCTATCTGTTCCCGGGCAAGGTTGATGGAGCAGCGGCAGAATAGCAGATGGCACTGCATTGGTACGATGGGGAACAGCAAACCAGGACACTGAAGCCAGGCTGGCCTGGGTGCCAGGGCAGGGCCAGCCGGGTCGTCTCCATGGGAACACCAGCCCCCACTAAGCCAAAGGCCGGCTACTATTGGGTGAGACCTCCCAGGTACAGGAGGCCAGGAGCCTGCTCAACCGCAGCAGGGGAGAGAGCGCCCACCTGGCGGCCCAGAACCTGCCTGTGGGGGCCCCGGAAGAGGCGCCATGGCTCTGTCTCTCCTCGAAGAAGTCTTCACCCACCTCTTGCTCTGGCTACCTTCTTTTCTCATATGTTTTCTTTCATCTTAAAGGCTATTGCTTATTATTTTAAAGCATAAGCCAGGAGCTGCTGACTCACACCTGTCATCCTAGTGACTCAGGAAACTGAGTTCTTCAGAGCTCTTCAGAGCTCAGCGCAGACAAGGCCAAGAGACTCGCATCTCCAATTAACTACCAAAAAGCTGGAGGAGGTGGAGGCGGGTCTCCAGTGACAGAGTGGAAAAGGACAAGCAAGGGTCCAAGGCCCTGATTTCAAGCCCCAGGACAGACAGACAGACAGACAGACAGACAGACACACACACACACACACACACAAAGAAAAATCACAAATGCATACACCTGATTCCCATACATATGTAAATATGATCAGTAAAATATCTGAACGATCACCATCTGCCTCTTCTAAACACAGTCCCCCCATAGACTCCAGAGATACCCCACGGGTTGAGCCCCTCTGGGATAGCCAGGCCGGGCCCTGCCCAAGGCTGCCCACAGCTCAGCCTTCTCTGTCTGGTTCTCCCTTCCTCAAGTCTCCCCAGAGAGGCAGTTAAAGAAGAACTGTCTCAGAGGATTTCCTTCGCCTCCCCAAACTGCCGTCCTGGTCCCGGCCAGCCTCTCACCACCCAGGAGAAAGTAGAGGCGTGGGAGTCCCGGGCACATGCCTGCTGCCTGTTAGATAGAGACCCCAGAAGGGTGACACCGGGGTGACACTGGAGCACATACCTCCAATTTCAAGCTGAGGGTGAAGGGGATGCAGGAGCTGGCTCCTTCGAGGGCAGGAGCAGGCCCTTCCGCTGGCTCCCCCAAGAGCTGCTGTGCCCCTGGAGACTCACCACATCCTCTCTTCCCTTCACCCCTGCAGCCATCGAAGGCCAGGCACTGCGTCTATGGAGGCCCCTTGGAGGGCTCGGGTTGTGGAGGGCTGAGCTGGGCAGGGAGCAGGGGAGGCGAGGCGAGGAGAGATGCACAGGGAGCAGCCCTGGTTCTGGTCTAGTCTACTGGAGGTTGCTCAGCCAGGGTGCAGGCTCCTCTGTGCAGCTAAGGTCCCATGTTCTAGAACATCTCAAGGGAGTAGAGGCCAGCCAGAAAGGAGAAGGGTGACCAAGCATACCTGCCAAACAGGTACGTCATACAGGAAGCTGTCCCCTGAAAGAGGAAACTCAGACAGCCTTCTGACTCTTATCTAAATCAAGATCATCGAGGGTGGGATGGCCGCTGGAGGACTGGACAGTGACAGGCCCACTGGGGTGGGGGAGGGGCAGGTTAGACGGAGGGCAACAAGAACGGGACAGGAAGAGGGGTTGGGAAGGGTGGGAGAGAAGGTCCCAGGTCAGTGGAGGCAATCTGATTCCTAAAACAGTCCTACGAGGCCCTGGAGCCACCACGCTCCATAAAAGGAGTTCTCTGAAACCTGGAGCTGATCGCCTAACTCCTCTGAGGCCACTTCCTCATCTGCCGATGGAGTCAGCCAACGTGCGATCATCTACTAGGCAGCCAGCAGCCACAGCACCTGCCCCAAACCACAGGAGTCCCCGCCAGCCCACGCCTGACACCCAGCAGAAGGTTCCGCCACCTCTGCTCCCACATATCTGCCACTGTCACCCTGAAAGAGTCTGTTTGGACAAAGGAGGGGGGTGGAGAGGGAGGGAAGGAGTGATGTTGACAATGGTACCCTCCTGATGAAAGGCAGCTGCGTTCCCAAGCAGAGGGGGGGGGGGGAGGGCAGAAGAAAGGAAGGAGAGGAAGGGACAGGAAGGTGGACAGAGCAGTCTTCTATCTATACGGCAGCTGTATGGTGTCACCTGGCCCAAACCTCCAGATTTTCCCATATTTCTGCCCCCAAGCTCTACCTGTACACTGAGCTCACATGACCCCCACGGGTGAGTAAATCGGCAGGAAGCCCTGAGCACTAGCTGGAATCTGGACAGAGTCCTGAGGGCTGCCCCTCATCCTGCCCCCAGGAGCCTGTGAAGTCAGCCACCAACCGAGGCTGAAGATGTCTAGGCACCTTGAGCATTCATTACGTCCAATCAGGAGTCAGTGGCTGGTTAGAACACCCTCCCTCCCCCCCCCAGCTCCTCGGCACTGCCCCTGCCTACCATCCCCCTGAGAATGTGGCAGTGACACGTTCTAGGTGCTCAGGCACCTGGGGATGGCTCCTCCCTGCAAACCTTTCTCCCTGTGGCTGCTCGCACTATTTCTTAGGTATTTGACCTCAGCTAACACGAGGCGGAAGAGATGGCCTGGTGTCTTGGAACACCCTCAATGTGCAAAAGTCAGACAAAAGTGCTCTTTAAACCCTATGGTTGTCTTGACACTTGGATTATAAGGCATCCGTGGGGGAGGGAGCTTCCGTCCCCACAAAGGGTCTAGAAAAGATGGACATCCAAAGTACTGCCCAACTCCCTCCTGAACTCAGGGAGAGAAAAAGCGTGTGTGTGTGTGTGTGTGTGTGTGTGTGTACGCATACTGTGGCTTGAACTCCTGGCCAAAGGCACTGTCCCTTAGCTTGTTCATTCAAGGCTGATACTCTACCACTTGAAGCACAGCTCCATTTCCAGTTTTTGGCTGCTTAATTGGAGGTAAAAGTTTCACAACCTTTTCTGCCCAGGCTGGCTTTGAACCTGGATCCTCAGACCTCAGTCCCCTGAGTAGCTAGGATTACAAGCACAAATCACGCACGTCCAGCATGAGTTTGGTGTTTTGTGTTCATGAAGCTGCTCCTTGGATGGAAACCACCTCATTCTCTGGCTTTCCCTCCCCACCATGGATAAGACCCAGCTTAGGAACTAAATAAAAGCTTCAGCATTAAAACCACGGGCTTCCTCTTTCTTATTATTTCTTTATTAAATAGTGGTACAAAGTAGTTTGTGGTTTCAATTCCACAGTCAGGTCATCAGTATAATTCATCTTGATCAGTCTTCTCATCTTTCTCTGGAGTCTGACTCTAACCCCTCCATACCCTCAAGGTACATCATTCAATTTTCACAGAATATGACTGTATTTGCTCACCCTTTCTCTTACCCCTCCACAGCTCCAACAATGCTCATCTCAGTCTCCTGGTATTCATGTTGTTACAATATATACCATCCCTTCAGTCAGTTTGTTTGTGTGGGGCCAGGGACTCCAGCTTTCCTTCTCAGACCCAGTGCATTTTAGTATCTCCTGAGGGTGACCTCTGACCTCCCGGTGGGCCCCCGGTCAAGGCCACCTCTGGCCCTTCCTTGACATTGCCTAAGGTTACAGCCACTGAAACGTTATTGCTGATTTGGGGGAGGGAAGGGGGGATGGGCAGGTGATGAATCCCTTTGAAATCGAATTTTCGGTTTCCTGTTACCTGAAGTGGGCTGTTTTCTTTGCACGCATCACCAGGGGCTTTGTGGGCATTTGCTCTTTAGCTGTTGCATTTCTATTCCTGTTTATTGCTAACCTTTTCTCTCCCTCCTTGCTCACCTCTCGCCAACATATATACGTTTCAAGCTTTGCTTTGCTGCATGGAAACGGTTAATCCTGCAGATGATTAAGTCGGGGTGTTCCCGTGGATTGTCTTGCAGCAGATTACTAATTCTGTTTAGTCCCATGTGTTGCCTTTAATAATGACAGTATCCACCTGGTAGTCTACTTTACATTGCTGTAATCACCTATCTGAGAGAAGCACTTTAAGAAGGGACTATTTGGGCTTACGGTTCTAGAAGCTTCTGTCCATGGTCACTTGGCTGCTTTTTTTTCTGGGCCTGTGGTGAGGGAGAGCTTCGCCACAGTGAGAGTGTGAGAGGGGAGAGGATCGGTATGATCTTCAAAGACACACCACCACATGACCACTTCCTCCAGCCAGGCCCCTGCCTTTCCTCCAACTCACAGAATAGCGCCACCCGCTGGAGACCAAGTGCTGAACCCCAGAAGCTTCTGGGAGGCATTTCATATTCAAGCCAAAACACAGACTCCACAATTGGTATTCACTTCCTTCCTGGAAATCTTTTAATTCTGTGTGTGTATGTATGTGTGCACGTGCATGTGCGCACACGCACGTGCATGCACACCCGCACATCAATACTAGAGCTTGAACTCAGAGCCTAGTTGTTATCTCTAGCTTCTATGTTGAAGGCTGGTGCTCTCCCACTTGAAGCACAGCTTCATTTCTAGCCTTTTGGTGGTTAATTGACTCACAGATTTTCCTGTGCTGCCTGGCTTTGAACTGCAAGATCTCAGATCTCAGTCTGAGTTGCTAGGATTAGAGGTGTGAGCCACCAGGGCTTAGCTTTGAATTCGTTTTGATTGGTTTTTAATCCTGAGAGTGGAGGATAAGGATATTCTCCAATACCGAGAGCCTAATAGGGCTTTGGGGAAGGTCCTCTGCCTACCCTGCCAGCAGATATAGATTCTACATCTACTCCTTGATATCAAGGATTTTCCCATCATGCTCTACTCCAACACTAGCTCTGTTTCTTCTCCATCTCTAGACATACCACTGTTCAAGGAGATGTCATTAATGAGGGTGACAGCCACCTCCCTAACATATTGCGTGTCCCAAGGCGTCATCAGCGAGCCACAACTTCCAAATAAGTTAGTTAATTCTTCATACCACTGAGAGGTGTAGGGGAGGAAACCAGGTACAGAGGGTTCCAGTACTGCGCCCAGATGTGCTCCCAGGGGTCTAGACTTGGGTCAGCACCCTCATTGATCCTCACCAAGCCCAGGGAGGCAGGGCTCACAGGCACCCCAGGTGAAGGGCTCTATTCTTTGTATGTGGTTATTTTTTGGTCGGTCGTGGGGCTTGAACTCTTGAGCTCTTCAGCTCAAGGCTAGCACTCTACCACTTGAGCCACAACGCCACTTCCAACGATTTTTTTTGCCAGTCCTGGGGCTTGAATTCTGGGCCTGGGCGCTGTCCCTGAGCTTCTTTTTGCTCAAGGCTAGTGCTCTACCACTTAGGCCACTTCTGGGCTCTATCCTTTGTTGTCAAAGTTTAGCCAGTGTCTGAGTGCACCCAGTGCCTGGCAAGGGTGCCCTGCTGAAGAGAAATCCTCTGTTCTGCAGCTGCCCACAGTCCCCTGGGGCACCTGCTCAATTGACGCCACAGCTTTTCTGCTCCTGGGGATGTCTTGTGGCAGAGAAGATGCTGAAGGATGCCGCCACAGGAACAAAAGACGCCTTCCTGTGAAGGTAGAAAACAAGCCACGAGCTCCCTGGCACCACAGTACAACCCAAAGTGACCAGAAGCCTTCGCTGATGCCTTATGTAACTCTTCAATTACAGAGATGGCTGGGAAGGCACACTGAACCCTGTTATATAAAACACATGATGTTAGAAGAAAGGAAGGCTGTTACGGAAAGGGAAAGTTTTCAGCGTTCATTAAAATAATTGGATCTATACTTCTAAATGAAAAGAACATGGGTATGAATATTTATAAGATGAAAGCACAGAGGCCTTTTGCCTAAACACCCCCAGAGCACTGCAGAGGAGGAGGAGGAGGAGGAGGAGGAGGAGGAGGGGAATACAGTCCCTTCCCTGCCCTTCCCTGCTGGCCAGGCCCTGCCTCTGCCCCCCTGCCTCTGCTTGAAACCTGACTTCCTGCTCAGTTCCCACCCTGGTCCTGATCCAGGCCTCTCCTCCCACGTCCTGGGCCTCTTTCTGCCTGGCATCCCGTACTAACTCTTGCCCAAGCCCTGCCTCCAACAGCTCCCAGGGCCTCAGTTTCCACACCTGGGCAGTGGGCACAGTTACACAAGACCTTCTCTTTCTCCATTTTTGTCATATTCTCTCTCCCTCTCTCTCTCCCCCCCCCTCCCTCCCTCCCTCCTTCTCACTTTCTACTTGGCCATAGGATACGTTCTTCAGGAACAGACACACAAGACAGAACTCAGATTTCAGAGTCTCGGGGTCCAGCTCCCCCCACCTTCTTTTCACAATGCCAAAGGAGTAATGCAGCTTTCCTAACTCCCTCCACTCCCCCTCCCGGGCTCCTCCCTCCCCCTCTGAGCTGCCCCCTCCTCCTGTTTGCCCACATCCCCCCCATCTCCCTCCAGCCAGCTCCCCCTCTTTTACAGCCTGTAGATATAGGCCCCCACCTACCCGTCCTTCTCCCTCCCTCCTTTCCTCCCTCCCTCTGCCCTTGCCTCCTAGCCCCACTCCGCTCTGGCCCCAACCTTCAATCCCAGACTGCTCCGCTGCCCTGCCCACTTCCCCCCTCCAGCCTCTCCAGAGACTTCCTGCCTATGGGCCTGCTGGGAGCAAGGGCCAGTGCACAGTAGGCAGTTACGGCCTACCTAGCAGGGCTGGAGCTCCGGGTGCCCCTGCCCAGCAAGTCCTCTGGTATCTGGGTCTCTGGCTTGGTCATTGGGTAGATGGCCTTCCTTAAGTTTGGTCCACAGGTAAAAGAAAGAACAACTAGCCTGGTGCCAGTGGCTCACACCCGTCATCCTAGCTGCTCAGGAGGCTGAGCTCTGAGGATAGTGGTTCAAAGCCAGCCTGGGCAGGAAAGTCTGTGGGACTCTTATCTCCCATACAGGAAAATCTGTGAGACTCTTATCTCCCATAAACCACCAGAAAAACTAGAAGTGGCACTGTGGCTCAAGTGGTAGAGCACTAGCCTTGAGCTGAACTGCTGAGGGACAGCA